CTGCTTTGCCCTCTTTATTCCCACCCCATTATTGTGGGCTCCTGTTCTCCAGATGCTTTCCTCGTTACCCATGACAGCCGCTCCTAAATAGGCTGAATCATGAAACTGTGCAGAGAGAAAACATTACTCATGTGAAAGAAATTAATCTCATGCTATCATTTTAAGCTCCTGGAAAATCTATTATTCTTGTAGAATCTGTTCCCCATTTCAACATTGTCAATTGAAAGATACATACACTAAGGATAGTGGACATGAAGGAGAAGCTAAGATGGGTACAAAAAACAAACCACCACCCACCACTCCAAAAGAGTACAGTCAACTGGCAACTCCTGGAGACGACCTTGAATGAAAACCTACAAAACACTGGCAAAAGTCTTGCAGTTTTGCCCTGTAGAGGTATGTCCCACTGGCAGCCCTCTCTTGTTGGGAACCCAGGAGAACCCTGTGCTCCAGCATGGGCCTGCTATTTCACTTTAATGTAATATTTCTACAAAAAGTATTTGCTGCTCTAGGCTGGCAGTGGTGTACAGATGGAATGAAAGCACAACTGTGCAAGGTCTTTTGGATCAATAATGTTGCAAAGATCATTTACATATACCCTATTTGTACATTTCAGGGTTTTTCAAATGTTTTCAGAAATGGAGTCATTCCAGGAGCTGCTTCTCCCTCAAAGACCCCATCACCCAGCAAATGGCTCTCTAGCTGAGGAAAAATGGATGCAGATGCCCCAGAAATCATCAGTGCTGATCTGATCACTAATCGCAGATTGTTTGAGAATGACCTAAGATGGTCCACCCTACAGAGGACTGAACATGTAGCCTCTCCATAGAACCCAAAGATGCTGCCAGTCTGAGGTGTGGGCTATTGAGCTTCCTGAACTCTGTTCACCCACTGTCAATCAGCTTTTTCAACTATAATGAATAGGCATGGCTGAAAATGTTTAAATACAAAGTTCTGGGACAACTTGGCCTTTCAGTGGCTGCACCTCAGTGGCGGCAGCAAATTCCCCTTCAAGGTGTGTGTGTGTGTGTGAAACAGAGGTATGTTGCATCATGAGCTATCCTTTCTGGCCCATGCTCAGAGGTGATGCTCATGGGGTCTAAATGAAACTTTGTTCAGCATCTTGGCGAGAGGTCAGATCACCAGGATGCAAGCCCTTTTATTGAAGGAGATAAGCATGGGAGGAAGTGTTTATATGTGGGGCGAAATGAGGAACTAAGAAGTATCCACCAAATTCAGAAATTCTATATTAATGTGTACAATGGTTATTAGCCTTATTCCACTGTACATCAGAAGGCACTTAATATATTTACATCTACTAAGAAGGAATAACTATTACTACAATGTCTTAGCAAAGACTCACCATGTTCTCTTAATAGGCAACCTATTGGAATTAATTACGGCTAATAAAATTCAGAATTTCTATATTACTTTTGCTAATTTAATGTGACAGTGTCAACTAACATGTAAAACGGTGTTCCTTTAAGTTATCATTTCCTGCTAATTCTTTGGAAGATGTGGAATGGCTAATTCCAAACATAAAAGGTGAACCTTCCAGTCCATAATCTTTAGGACAAACCTTGTCCTTTATTCGGCAGGTGCAGATGGTCCTGCTCAAAGGAAAACTAGTGAGCAGGAAGGGAGCAGAATTTGATTATACCACACAGCGGTGCACATTGTGTGAGTACCACAGATTTCAGCTTTATGGGAGCTCTTTGTATTCCCTCACAGATGCAGGGAGAGGGTGGAAGTGAACAGACTTGATCCAACAGCCATTCCTTTTGAAGAGGTTGGCCACAGGAAGAGCTGCTAGGGAATGGCTCCATTTCCCTGGCTTCCTCTCCCACTCAACATCAGATCGTTTCCTTAGTGTGTAACTCATTGGGCTGTGTGCTGGGATGAGGACTGGTGGTTTTGTGAATCACAAGAAGCTTTTTTTCCCTTATAGCTTTGTTGGCAACACAGACTTCAGCACAATGAACTCTCTCAAGAATAAAAGTATCTGTATTTGCTCAGGATGCCATTAATAAAGGAAATACAGGAAAGCACTTACGCAGGTACTTAAGTTCATTAGTGGGACTTATATACATGTGAAAAGTTTAGCATTTGCTATGTACTTTTCTGAATCATGGCCATTCCCCCTTGATTCTGTATGGTTCAGTTACAGCTTTGCCATGTACATAGAGTGAGGGGCAATCAGTGTACTATAATGCTGCTCCAATAGCCACCCAGGAAGGAGACTGTGACATTTCTATTCTGGGTTTATAACTAGCAGAATTACCCCACCCGGCATGTCGGGGGAGCTGAAGCCAATCCTCTGCCCATTCCTTGCTCCAATTCATTCTCTCCGCCCATCTGTGTGAAGGGGTGGAAGCAGCTGCTCCACAGAAGCTTTCCCCTGCCACACTGCTACTTGTGATGTGTATAGCTGGTGCACAAAGGTAATGGGCATCTGTGCCACTGCATTTAAAAAAATGTTTGCATGCAATTGTACATGAAAATAATGGTGATCTAATTGGTGTGCAACAGTATGGCATGATCAACTCTGCAAATGAGATATTAAGGGATGTTAAGAAGCATATCATTCATTAATTGTGTAGTCGACAAAAATCAATAAGGGCTAGCACTGCTATGGTTGCCACTCAATCCTGGCTCCTGCTGGGTCTGACAACTACCCCCACTGCAGCTCTGTACTACAAGCATTTGTGCTGCACTGGGGGCTGATGCCAGGTCCCAGCACTAAGAGCCAGCACATGGACAGGCTGGCTCAGTCCCGACTCCAGCCAGGACCCGACATCAACCTCCACTGCGGCTCTGCACTATAAGCACTAAGAGCCAGCGTGGGGTGGGGGTTGATGATAGGTGCTGGGGCTGAATCCTAGCCTATCAGCCAGCCCGCTAAAAAATTTACTTGATGGGAGGGGGAGTGTGTTGTGTGTAGTTGATAACATTAACTGATAATCACCCGCTTATCGGTTAATCGTTTAGTCAACTATACTATTACATCCCTAGTTTGCACATGGAAAAGGCCAGTTAGACATCTCAATGGCTGTATTCATCTATAAATACCTGATACATGTGCACAATTAAGGCAACAGTACATGAAAATTAAGTGCATAATTGTATTACTCTTCTGTACTTGTAGCAAAAGCAAGCAAAATAAGATTTTGGAAAATAAATATGATGTTGCAATAAGTAGTATGTTAGCTATGTGTGATCATTTACGAATTCCCATACCTAATAAAGTGCGGAAGTTGCTGAGTCACTTTATTTATGAATTCATGGGAGACAGAATTTTAAGAATGCATCCATTAGTCTAAGAGACTAATTGTTCACTATTGATCCTGTATGGGAAAAAGTCAGTACAGCAAACTGCATACTTCGTGGATCAAAGGACAATAAACATCTGTGTGCCAGTTTAGCATGAAGGCTCTATGAAGAAAGACAGATTCCTAATCATGAATTGCAGCCAAAACACTTAACAAGAAAACAATATTCAGTGGTATAATTTGCTTTGAATTCACAGCAACTTATTGAATAATTTGATCAAATAAACTTCTTTTTGAGAGTTCATGTTAGGAATTTGTGTTTTGATTCTAACTATATTTATAATCTAAAACAATAAAAAAAAACATTGCTATCGTTTTTTACAGAACTTTGGGAAAGTCTTTAGGTGGTAATGTCCACCACAACTTCAAAGATGAATTTCAAGACCCACCATTTTATTTGACCCCCATCAAATTGAAAAATATCAAATGTTTCTTATACTATTATAGACATTTAGCAAGACTATCTAAAGCAAACAACAAAACAACGGGTCTGACTATTGTAAGTAGCTTGTGAGCACTGGTACATAATGAAAATGTTACAATTCTAAGTGTAAGGAAAAAACACTGACCTGCTCTGAATAGTGCCCCCGCAGCATAATGCATGGCCAAAACATGGATGAGCTGTCTGGCAGTGGTGTAGATGGGGCCTCGTTCAAACTCAGAGAAGGAGAGAGGAGTGTGATCTGAAGCTATATACAGCTTTAGTGAAGCATGGATACTGACCAAGAGGTTAACTGGTTGTATCGCTAACTTCCTTAACTTTACTGGGTTGACTAAAGCTTTAGCATGCTGTCTCACTTGTTCAGGAAGTATTTGAGTAATAGTTGAGTTTTTTATGCAATGACCAATCACTTTGTTGTCTGGAAGATATGTATCAAATAAGGTCTTAATGTAATAAACAAATGTGTCTTCCACATATAGCCTGGCTGGTTTCAGTTCGAAGCTGAGGTCATTAACACAAAATAAAAAATTCTGTTCCTCTGATAAAGTAATGCAAAGTTTTATGAAACAGTTTTCCTTATATTCTTCCAAGTCTTTTTTGGATAAAATGAGGTTGTTCACTTTGGACCACTCAATGGTTTCATTTTTCTCTCCCTGGCACAGCAGGACTGCAAAGTGGAAATTGGATTTATTATACAGCTGATTGTCCAATTGCAAGTCTCCACAATATATTTGGAGACCATAAAACTGAGGAAGACCTTCAGAGATCTCTCCCTGGAATTCATGAGACAGTGATCTCAAGTAGCTGTCTACTGGTGCCATTTTAAGGTAAACATTGTCCACGGTGAGCCGCAGAAGTTCAGAAGACATTTTGTGATTAGTGATTTCATCAAACATTGCAAGGCTTGCCTGGCTGATGAACATTTTAAATATAACGGATTGCTCCGGAGTTCTAGACAGGAAGAAAGGAAAATGTGAGTTTGTAATTTTATTTTATTTAACCTGGCATTTTGTTTTTCCAAAAGAAAGCTATGAGGACCTACAAGTACTGCTGGATGATCAATTTCTTAGGAATAAATCCTTAATTATAGCTCAAACAAAATTTCAGAAAATACATATTCAACATCTCTAAAAGCCAAGCATTTTGAATGTTATAAACAGGTGATGTTATAATTAGAGTTGAATGGATCTGAGAGCCAAGTTTTAGCAATGTTATAGCAGTGAGAGAGAATCTTCTAAGGAAGAGTGTTATAAAGATGATGGCATGCATAGTTAACTACTGTGTAGAGAACCATTCCTGCAGCCCTTACTGAAGAAAACTCCCACCAATTTCAGTGAGAATTTTGTGTGAAGAAGGACCACAGAAACAGGCCAAATAAGCTTTAAACTTGTGAATAAACTCAAAATTAGAATGGAAATTATTTTTAATTCTTTAAAATGAACAGCTCAGCCTTGTTTATTATACCAGACATTGAGTGTTTATCCTACAATGACATGACCTCAGATGTTAGACTGTCATGTTTTTACTGTGATATACAAAATGTAACATGTGCTAAACGTATGCCACTGCATATGCAGTGACATTAGACAAAACAAACAATTGTGCCAGATTTCATAAGTCACTTCACACTTACAGGGTTTAATGACTTCCCAGGATAAATCTTTAAATGTGCAGTTTTTTTACAATTTTCCATGTGCTTTACATACCTGTTCAGGTTGATCAGGACAGGTCCTGGTCTTCCTTCTGGGGCCAAAGTTATTATTATTGTACCACACCGATGAGCAATGTCCACATAAACACAGCCAAAGCCAGTTAGGAATACAATCTAGAACAGAACATTTTAAAACTAATCAGAAATATAAAAAATACTACTGAAAATGCTCATTTTACTCTATTACAATTTGATTCAATGTATTACCACTTTCTGGTTTCAATTTTTTATTTCAAATCATATTCTGTTGAAAGAAAGAAAGAGTTTGCTTTCAAAAGAAAAAGTCCAGATTCTTAAGTATTTCACCTATAATAGAGAAAAATATAGTAAATGAAAGAGAAATGATAAATGCAATTTAGACTTCCTAGAGTCTAACCTGGATGTGAGTGGGAAAAAACAGTTTAAATGCTAGAAAAATGATTAATGACATTCAAAGTCCTTGATTTCAGACCACCGAGCAGAGAATCTCCCTGGAGCTCTTCAAAATACTCCCAAAAATCAGAATTAAGTTGCATTAACAAGACTTTTTCCAAGTTAGAATTCCTTTGATGCAATGAGAAAAACTAAGCTGGTCCTCACTGGAGCGGTCTCCAATTCACTCAAAAACAATCACACTCCTCAGAAGTACACTTACAAACATGCATGTTATATTTGAACAGAATCTCAAATTCCTTCCAGTTTTCTAGCAGTTTTAATTTCTAGTTAAAATGGAAGATCCTACTTTCTACCCAAATCTATCGGTATGAGAGAGGGCTATGTTAATTGCATCAAAAAGGTGGGAACTATGGAAGTAAACTCACAGAAGAGGAAATAGATCATTTCTAAATGTGGTCAACTTTTTGAAATTGCACATATCTAACCAGCCAGATAAGCATCAACTGAGCTTGTTTTTAGCATATCCAAACTGGTTTGGCTAAAATATTATTGTAGGCCAGGGTGCTGGAATATATTCCATGCCCCCAAATACCTTGGGGAAAGTGGAGAACAGTTGGCCAGATTCAGAGAGAATATGTTGAACCTGGAAGTGAAGTGTGTGTTGGGGGCTGAGAGCCTCTGCCTGAAAATGTCTCTGCATGCCTCCCCAGGTCAGGGGTAGTCGAAAATCAGGCTTAGAAAGGGGATGCACTGCTCCCACAAGGCAGAAGGAAGGAGAAGAGCATATGCCAGAACTGCCCTTCCTCGGCTACTCATTAGCTGGCCAGCAGAGGAAGGTAACTGATTAGATGCCCAACACTCTTCTCCTGCACATCTCAATATTTTAAATCTTTCCTTGAGCTCCTTGTTTTTTGCCTTTTCAGGTGCTTTTCCCTCTAGCTACAGACAGTGAACAGTGTTTCTAACTAATCTCCTGTTTTGGGAGATCTGGAAAGAATTTTTCCTTTCGGGTGAAATTGGCTGACATCCATTTTTTCCCTTTCTCGCAGCAATGTGGAGGCACAGTTGGGGTAACCAATACTAGGATTTAGAAACATAATTTTAAAAGAAAATATAGGAATGTGCAGTTGTCAAAGCTTGCTGGTGGTGTC